GATGGAGGGGGGGGAGCGGGTGCAGCCACGGGAGGGCGGGGCTGAGGGGGGACTGGAGCCGGGGCAGAGATGGGAGCTGGAGCTGGAGCAACTGTGAAAAAAAGAAAACGAGCTTCTTTAGCTTATGAAACATCGGAGCTGGTGGGCTAACACTGCCTCATGTGTTCGCTTTGTGTCACTACAACAATTCTCTATGGAGAGTTTGGGTAACATTGTATTAGCTGGGGGTGTGTTTATGGTAAAGTTGTTGATGGTAGTCTAGGGGGCGCTCACACAGGGGTCAGTGGTTCTAGTTTCTCACCAGGTTGACTGGGGTAGATACAGGCGGTGCTGACCACCTTAGGGGGCGTGGAGCCGATGGGGATCTGAATGGAGGTCTGCTGAGGGGGGGGGAACTGCTGCATCGGGTGAGGCTGGTACTGTTGAGGGATTGGCTGGTACTGCTGTGTGGGCGGGGCTTGCTGAGCCTGGTACATGGGCGGAGGTTGAACGTAATGACTGAGGAGGAAACAACAAAACAAAACTGTGAAAAAAAGACAACATTCCAGAACCTTCCATTCAATCGTTCAACAACATTGACAAGAGTCCCTTTAGCAACTGTTGACGTTCTTTCAAATAAATAAGACGCTTCAAAACCTATAAGAGCGGCTGCTGGTTTGATTCCCTCCTGTTGGTGGAGACCTGACCAAAGTCACAACATCAGAGTTACATCCAACGTCAGAGTTACATCCAACATCAGAGTTACATCCAACATCAGTGTCATCCAAAAACAGACGCTGTGATCCATAAATATTCCTAAAAGCCCTTGAACAACAACATGTCCTGAAGGGGGCGTCAGTCCACTTATGTTTTCTGAGAACAGATGAGTCGCAGCTCTTTCACTCTCATGTGTGCAGGACTAAACCAGAATTGATTGGTTACCTGGTGGGGGCGGTAGAGTCCGGAGGCTGCGTGCTAACAGGTGGCGCTGCAGAGTTGGAGACGACACAGGGTGGAGCATGCTCAGACGGGCTACAGCACACAGGAGGAGGTATTAGGAGCAACGGTAAAATAAAAGAGAAAAAGACCAAACAAACACAACAGTGTTTCCCAAAGTGTGGGTCACGGTCTGCCAAGCGGCCCGAGGACGAGTCCATGTGAATCAGAGATCCGAAAGTTGAAGATTTTATTTTATTCTCTCTATGAACATTTAAATCTCTTTTTTAGAATATTTTTTACGGTGTTTTTTCCTCTGTTTGGGAAAAACTGGTAAATATTCACTTCAAATACTCATTACACACATAGTACTACAGTACATTAATACTAAAACACACACATGATTAGTTAAAGTGAGAAAAAACATTTCATGCAAAACTAAATAGAATTAATAATAGTTAAATAAATATGTAATATATTTTCACATGTTAATGTATTTTATTTTAGTTGATCTTCTATTTATTATTATTATTCATTTTTATTCAACAGTCATACAGTAACTGCTCTAAATAATGTATTTTTCCTTCAGCCTAAAGAGGAGACGGTGAGTTATTAAAGTGATCTGAGAGAAAATGACTGAAATCATTTAAACTATTTTTATTTAAGAGAAGAAAACCTCCTGGAGTCTCTTTATTGGTGGGAAAAAACCTGTAGTTGTTGTGACATCACTGACCGAGGTTGAGTCATCGCTCCATAAATAAAGTGTGACGAGAATGTTCGTGTTCCAGGAGGAAGAGGCCGCAATCGATGAAGCATAATGGACGAATGATTAAATAAAAACACAGAGGGAACGGCGCTCCATCCATCACTGCTCAGACAGCAGGAGGAGGAGGAGGAGGAGGAGGAGGAAGAGGAGGAGACTAGGATCTAAAGCTCACTGTATCTGTTGGATCTTCACTGTGAAGAACATCTGTGACTGGAATTCTAATGATTTATGGGAGAAAAGCAGCAGGAAGAGAGGGAATACAGTAATCAACCGTGACTGAGGTCAAATGTAGCTCTGTTAAAATGAAACAGAGGATTTGCCCTGAAGCTCCCTCTTCTGGTGAAATCAGGTCATAACAGTTTTACAATTTCATATAAATATATTTAAAATATCTGATCAAATGCATCGAGAGACAGCCGTAAACACATCTTTAAAATATATATTTAAAAGAAAACAAAAACGGGAAGTGAAAGGTTTCTGAGACATTTCCATTTCGAAAATTAGAGCCTGTAGATGGCAGTATTGCGACTCCAAGTCTGCCAGCTGCTATTAAAATCAAGAGAAATAAGAGCGTGTCAGGTGAGAAGGGTCAGGATTAGATCTCAGATAAGAAACACGACATGAGTGACGAACACAGCTGTGTTATTACAGCACCTCACAGACAGGGAGTGGCTGCAGTGACCAGCAGTGACCAGCAGAGAGCAGCAGTGAGCAGCAGTGAGCGGCTGCAGTGATGAACGCTGCTCTGAGTGTAGCGTGGAGACCACGTGCTCTAGCTTGAGGGCGGGGTCACTCCACTGCCTACCTGCTACTCTGTGGCGCCTCCTGCTGCGTGTCCTGTGGTGGTGCTGCAACACAAAGACAAAACATATGTTTAGACATAAAAGTAAATGAAGATTCTCCAGTCATACTGTATTCAAAGAGTATTTCACATCTTCAAAGTACTTTAGTGACTGCACAGTTTGAAATCCTTCACTACTAAAAAACCCAACCTGAAATAAGTCAATAAAATGAGGGTCACAACAGAAAAAACAAACTTACCAGACTCAGTTCCAGTCATTTGGGCCAGGACCCGGAAGGACTTGGACTGCATGTTGATGCTACGGCGCTCCCCGCTGACGCCCAGACTCTGGTCCACGTGTGTCTGGTTAATGGCCTGGTAGACTGCACTGTCTACAAAACCATCTTTACCAGGTGAACTACCCGTGAGCCCCACCACCAGCACCCCAAAATACAGAGAGTGAACACAAGGGGGCATTACAGCAACAACCTCAGAGCAGTGTACGAATCATGGAAACAACAACATGAAGAAACCTTTGTTTGGATTAGAACGACAGGAAGTGACACAACCAGGTGAAAACACAAGGAAGAACAGAGCTGAGAACATCGTCGTCCAGGCACTCGGATTTTTGAAGTAGCTACTCAGCAGCGACGGTGCTGTGTGCGCCCCCTGCTGGTAGAACCAGGCTAAGAGTGTTAGCATTCTCTGCTGTCACTGAGGTGAATTAGAACAAAAGTGTTTACATTTCACATCTAAACAAATCTTTCCATCTGTGTCGACCAGCAGGAGGCGCTCCTGTGTTATTTGACAACACCTTATACCATACAGTCACTGATGACTGGAGGATGACAACTTTGACCAGCAGAGAACCGACAACCATGACAAGTAACAAGAGACACCGTGACCCCTCAACCAGGCTCTGGAGAACCTGGAGAACCTGGAGAACCTGGAGAACCTGGTGTAGCAGGTGTAGCAGGTGTACCAGGTGTACCAGGTGTACCTCAGCACTGGTATTTTCACACTTAGATTGATGAGATTGTTCACACTGTGCAGAGCAGCAGCTGCAGTGTAACATCTCTGAAAGAAGAAACCATCAACAGTCGCCAACAGGACTAGTAAAGAAGAGCAGAGTTTGTCTCCTCCACAGGTACAGGTACAGGTACAGGTACTGATGAAGACGTGGTGGGTGAGGTGAGGTGGGATGAAGAAAAATGTAGATGTAGGAGGTTGGAAAGATGAAGAATGAAAAGGTAGGAAGAAGAAAGAAAATGAGAAGGAGGAGGAGGTGTTGGAGGAGGTGTTGGAGGAGGAGGTGAAGAAAAACAAAAGAAGGAGCACGCACGGGGAGAAAGATGTTGAGGAGGTTAAGAGACAGATGGCGCTAGAGACGGTGAAGTACTTCTTACCCAGCGTCGTGAGGTTTGCCCTGTGTCTGCCCAGCGATGGTGTCCATGATGGCCTCCTGTGAGTACATGCTGATGGGAGTGTTGTACTGAGCGTGGATGATGGTGGCTTTACCTCCAGGACCCTTCACCTCAATGGGTTTGTTGGTGGTGAGGGGGGAGTCTTTGAGGTTGGGGTTGAAGCCCACACTGTTGGGTGGAGAGGGAGAGGGGTGAGGAGTGAGGGAGGTGAACGGAAAGGTGAAGGTGAGGTGTGTGTCTCAGGACGGTGGTGCGAGGGGGGGGGTGGAAGAGAGACAGAAGAAGAAGAAGAAGAAGAAGAAGAAGATGATGGAGGACAGAATTATAACTCCATGACCACAGAGAGACAATCATCACACTCTCCATCAAACATCACCACAAACCAGAACTGAACCACTTTTGACTGAGCTGTGAGCAAAGCCCTTATGTTGAGAAACATTTTTAAAAATGCTTAAAAACTAAACTAAAAACTAACTTTGTGTCACTGACGTACACCAGACAGTTGGACTGACACAGGGTGTTGTCTAACCCTAACTCTTTAACTTTCCTGTTACCATGCTAAAATCTGCCTTGTTGTTACAAAGAGAATGTCTCTGCATTTCCAACAACAACCTCTAGGGGGCACTCACAGCTCAGGAAACAATGATAATATGTCACATTACAATAAAAAAACAAACAAACATGACAAATCAGATTTATCAGCCTAACGGTGTTCATCAGACACAAACATCCACGTCAGAGCAGAAACAACAGACACAAACATCCAGGTCACAGCAGGAACAACAGACACACAAACATCCACGTCCCAGCAGGAACAACAGACACACAACAATCCACTACACAGCAGGAACAACAGACACACAACAATCCACTACACAGCAGGAACAACAGACACACAACAATCCACTACACAGCAGGAACAACAGACACACAAACATCCACTACACAGCAGGAACAACAGACACAAACATCCACTACACAGCAGGAACAACAGACACACAACAATCCACTACACAGCAGGAACAACAGACACAAACATCCAGGTCACAGCAGGAACAACAGACACAAACATCCAGGTCACAGCAGGAACAACAGACACACAACAATCCACTACACAGCAGGAACAACAGACACACAACAATCCACTACACAGCAGGAACAACAGACACAAACATCCAAGTCACAATTATTTTAAAAAAGTCCAGTCTCATGCTTCACATGCTTTAACTATAAAATATCAACACACACACACACACACATCATACTGTGACCTTTACTGACCTTTACTGACAGCAGACACACACTGTATCAATGTCACTAACTGCTCTTTTATCATTATGATGCAGGACAATTAACACTGAAGTTAAACCATTGATCCACCTGCTGGCTAGTAATGGTACTACAGCCCCTAACTGACGAAGAACAGTGCTGTCTGTTCTGAGATGTGTGTGTGTGTGTGTGTGTGTAGCCATTTACAGAGTACACACTACAACCACAGCCTACTGTAAACCATATGGAAGTACTGCCACACAAGACAAGACACACAGTCCAAAAGAACCATGCTCTTCATAAAGCAACAAGCAAACATCCAAGTGGAGGAGGAGGACGAGGAGGAGGAGGAGGAGGAGGAGGAGGAGTACTGACTTGGGAGGAGCTGGTGTGAAAACCTGTCCAAGAAAGAAAGAAGAAAATGAACAAAACAGAAAGAAAATAAAAGAAAGAAAACTAGAGCAACGATTTCATCGTGAAGATTCTTCGACACTGTAGCAGGAAATAAAAGTTAAAAAAAGACTTTAAACCAGCTTTGATGTGACATTTGGTAATGTTCCCTTCATGACTGAAGACAAGAAGGTTTGAAGTTCAGGGCGGTTAGAAGTGTGTGTGTGTGTGTGTGTGTGTGCGTCCAGAAGGTTTCCTGACCTTTAACATCAGCCAGGAGACACGACAGGTGTTGGACCACTTCTGTGATACAGTAACCCAATCACTCTGTAAACCCAGGAAACCCCAAAGGCATGCTGGGTAACTGTACGCCAGTGTGTGGTGGATGACTTGTTGACGATGCTCTGATTATAAACTGTCATGTGATCACCACGGAGACTCTTCTTAAAGTGGAAGTGTGTATCATAATCTGTTAGTTCGAGTTTCACAGACATTTTAAATGAGTCACCACTAGGGGTCGCTGTCAAGTACTGGTGCTAAACCAGTACTGGCTCCCAGCTGTGTCTTAATGACTTTGAAATGTAATGTTGATAGTTACTGTGCTCAGTTTAGCCAAGCGCTACATCATAGGGTTCATACGTAAACGTCCTAAACAGACACATTAGCCAGGCTAACGCTGCGATAGTAGCGCCCTCTCTCTGACGCTCTGAAGGACAGAGGTTCGTCCTCTCTCTAACAGCCAGGGTCAAGTCAGGTTCTCAACTGTCATCGTCCAAACTCACAGTCAAATGTGAGTGTCAGGAATGAACTCTGTTCTTCCTCTGTTTGGGTTAGAAACAAATGACCTCACACCACAGTTAGACATGTGACTGACAGCCAGTGTCAGTGCAGTGGAGCTGCTGCCGCTGATGATGTCATCAGAAAAAGATGACGCTCCCTAAGACTCTACTGTCGGAGGGACGGTGAAGGTAGAAATGTGTTGTTTATGGAAAGAACACACAAGTTAAAGTTTGACCTCTGAACCAGCACTGTGACATCACGGCTCAGTGGGCGTGGTCTGTTCTTACCCCACTACATGGCCCTCCTTCATGGCTGCCATCTCTCTCAGAGTCTCCTCTGAGTACAAGCCAATAGGAGAGTTATACTGCTTCCTCCGTCTGGGAGAGTCTGCCTCTACAGGCCTGGAGGAGGCGCTGCAGGCCGACACACCATTGACTTGCACCAATGGACACTTTCACAGATAAAAGAAGGAGGAGGAGGAAGCAGATAACTGATCAATAGCATTATTTTCTGATTTAAAAATGAATTAGACGATATGTTTTCATCATTTCTTAAAATAAAAGTTACTAAAATAGTTGTAATTATATATATGTTTTATAATTATGATCTCTGTTTTATCACTTTTTTTTTTGTTCTGCTGTTTTTGTATTTGTATTTCGTGCATGTGAAAGTCATGTACGCCAGGGGGCAGCAGTCTACCAGTGGGTATCTATTTGTCCAAAGTGAATATAACATTTAAAGTCCACCCTTCACTGTATTTGGTTCTGATTTTCTGATCAGCTTTGTTACCTTTTGGTGAGGGATCATGGGAATGACATTGTCCATTCTTGGGGGCATCAAAACAGGACGTTTCGACCTGTGGAGACAAGAAAGAAAGAAAGAAAGAAAGAAAGAAAGAAAGAAAGCGTCATGGAACGGTTTCCAAGCACTTTCAAGGTTGACTCCTTGAGATATCGATAACCAACATGGCAGCATCAGCGGAGGAAACCAAGAGTAAAATCTCATCTGTGGTTTAAATGACTGACGTCATACTTTCAGATGACGTAACTCATCGTTATTCCTTCTCCTGTATATCAGTGGCGGCCCGTGCACCGACACCTTCAGTGATGTCCTACTTAGTCCGACTTCAATAAAAACCTCTCATAATACCATAATTCAGGACACCACGTGACCACGGCGGGAGAAATTGTATAGAGAAACACACTACAAGCACTACTGGACATTGCATCACCTCAATTGTGGACAAAACTGAGTTTTTTCTGACGCATTTAAAAATCAACAAATCCGCAAATAAATAAAATGTTTGTACTCACGTATTTCAACACAAAATCCATTCTCCTTTCTTTCCTCAACGACTCGGTTGTACAGTTTGTCCACTCGGTTGTCCGGTTAGCAGCACCGTAGCCAAGTGTCCAGTCGTGCTTTCGTGTCTCACTGCTGCCGTAGTTAAGCAGTTTAAGTTCGCCAATCCACGTTTTACCCTCCGTCGACCATTGTGGAATAAAAAAGCGAGTAGATATTCGATTTCTCTGTCTGCTAATCGGTTGATCTGCGTTGAACTTCTTGTTGTTTTACGGCGGTAAGCGAGTATCCAATCACAGGACGCATACATGTCACGTTCAACGTGAGGCCAGCTAGAAGGCCTGCTATCAACAACTCGTGATCTGATTGGCTATCGTAACTGTATGTGCCCGTTCGCTTCCATTGCACCAGACGCCCGCATTGTTGATTCTGAAGGTCTCGAGCCAGATTTCACACAGCCTGGCAACAGCTAGCTGAATTCTGATTGGATAACAACTCTAACCTAAAAACAACAACACTGGAAGGTTGTTGTTAGGCTCCTGCCTAATATGACATGAAGAGAATATGAAGAATATGAAGTAAGCTTTTATGTATTTAGGAAAATTAAATTAAAAACTAAATTAACTTTTATCAACTTATGATCATGATTTATGTTGGCCCAGCAGAGAAGGCCTTGCTGGACCTGACGGCCCACCACTGCTGTATATCACCTAACCTTTTAGCTAGTGATCATGTTGTTGTTGTTGCACAGGTTGACACAGAAACATATACTGTCAGTTCTGATCAGTTCTGATCACAGTTCTGATCACAGTTCTGATCAGTTCTGATCACAGTTTTCTGATCAGTTGTTGTCTTCACTCCCCAGAATCACAGTGATAATCTTGTCTCCTGTGTTGACTGAAGAACGATGGTTTCTCCAGACACTCACTCTGCTCCTGACAAACAAACAAACAAACAAACAGACAGACAGACAAACAGCACTGATTAGATGTCAACACCTCTTATTCAGAGCTTCTATAGAAAAATGGCGAAAGAGGAAGGAAAAAAAAAAAGAAAAGCTTCTACCTAACGACTGAAAACATGATCAACAAAGACTAAAGCCGTGACCCTGAGGTCAAGAACAACGGAGATAAAGGAAGACGTCCTTCACTGCAGAACAAAACACACTACTGGGTCTGAAAGTAGGTCATACTTTTCAGGGTTGTTCTTTAGCTGTTCTTTAAGTGCAAACGTTAATTAAGCATGAAGTAATTAAGGTGGAAAAGTAGTGAAGTAAACGATCTCGTCACTTAAACTCAATTTCTTCACCACCAGGTTCCTGTAGATCCACAGAGTGTTTCCATCAAATCTCCTCTGAGGGAGGAAACCACACAGAACAAAGATCTTCTGTTCTTAGCTGAAGGACAGGATGGTAACCATGGTAACAGACCAGCAACAGACCAGCAACAGACCAGCAACAGACCAGCATCTCCTTTGTTACCATTAGCTAAAATCAATGGTTTTCATTATGGAGTGTCAGTACTACAGAGTCAGTACCACAGAGTCAGTACCACAGAGTCAGTAC